TCACAATGCACTAAATCTCATCCAGAACATTGAGTTAAATTACCAGGGATCCCCAGACTCACCTCATAATGTTAATCTAGTCCAATCAGGCCTCTAGATCAACTTCCCTCACCTATAGTTAAGTGCCCATACTGACTCAACAGTTTCTGTACCACTATGCTGACCAATGTTCACGTTACTGTGGCTTCATGACCCTATAGTGCTCTTATATCTGAAGCAGAAATAGCGGGACATAAAGCCCTAATGACCATATTTTACCGATCAATAAGATTTTTGTTGCATCTAACTCCGCTCCATCCTGCAGCCTGTGGAGTAAAGCGGGAGCTGAAAATTCTAACCAGGCGAGAATGCTGGCGTCAGGATTTCACTTCATCCCTGACAGGCTTAATGAAGCACACAAAGAGGGGACGGGGACATTCATTGGCTGACAGGCAGGGTGGCCGCAAGCAGTGCACAGAGAGAGAGGGCTGCTGATGAAACAAGAGAGACTGCAGAGGGGCTATGGAGGTCTGACAAGTCCAGCATGATCCACACCCCTGCCATGTCTGTTTCTGCACAATATTCCTCTATAGGATATAAAACACACAAAGCCTTCGTCAACCTGCATTACAAACCATGCCTCCCACAAGTTCTCATATCAAAACCAACATTTAAATAAGACAATTTGGTTCAATTCGACTGAGAATCAATTCAAAATGATTCAACTGAATAAAAAGAATAAATGACATTGGGGCTCTTGCTCCAGTGCACTGTGTCAAACCACTGAGTCCTGTCCGTTACCCATTGAGCTGCAAACAAAACCTAGCACATCATTAAGCTGGTTCTGATTATCAGGACATTATCTGGCTAACAGAAAAGGAGCAGAAGAGATTTTTTTTAAAAAGCTCTGCTTTTTTTCCCCCCCATCAACATCATTGTGAAAATGTATTTTAATGTTTGTGAATTGGTTTAGAATCATAGAAAATATGAATTGGGATTCTTATGTGAATTAATTCTCCTTCTTAACTGATGAGGAGTAAAATGACTAAAGTGTCTTATATTATACGTTTCAGTAATACTAATTCCATCAACACAACAACAGGGTAATGTCATACTGACCACTCTGCTGCACTGAGTTTCTTTTATTAACAGAAATATGGTTTTTAATCACCTGTATATTTCTGTTAGAGATGAGAAACTGCTGGCAAGATTGCATGACTGTTGTGGTATTCCTGGAATTAGTGAAAACAAATTCAAACAGGATCAGATCATCTACAACACAGGACATTAGAAATAAATGCCTGTATCTAATATAGGCCTGTTTCAAACAAAGACCTTGTTCTCTTTGCAGATGAGAATAAAGGCCCTGCCCTTTATGCATTTACATACATACAGTACATAACATTTCTGTATGAATATTTTGTATTTGTACGAGTTATCTGCCAGAGGTATGGTGTGTACCTGGGAGATGTGGTTGATAGAGGACTCCATGCGTCGTAGTTGTGAGGCTTGGATGTCCAGCAGCTGCAGCACATTGTTAGCTAAGGCATTGATCTGGTAGGCCACGCTGGCCAGAGACTGGGTGGTGTAGGCCTTGGTCTCCTCCAGCGCCTTCTTCTTGTCTTGAGCCTGGCAGCGAGAAGGAGGAAGGACGGAGAGAGAGGTGTTATTCTTCTATCAGTTGATTGAGTAGAAAGGAAACAGGGAACAGTATTTGATAGGACCATTCATTCTCAGATCTGAAGGGCAGTGAACACAAGTTTGTGATTCTCAGAGGAAACGACTCTGTGGAAACTGGAGAACAATAACTTCTGAATAACTTATATGATCAACACAGAACAGGTGCACGGTGGGAGGTGACCCGCGGAGCAGGGTCCTAACACTCTAACCAGCTGTGCACACTGCACACCATCTGTTTCTGCAGGCTTTTAAATAGCAGTGAGACTGAACAGACATATTTATAGTTTGACACAAAGTGGGGACAATCAAGCCACACAGTGAACCAATACAATGTCTTCTATTTCAACTGACAGTTCAGTATAAATTATCATCATAATTTCCGTTTCAATCAGTTCCTCATTTAGTGTATTGTATGACTGTATGCCTCTGCCAGCCAATCAAGTTGCAGTTTACATGCATGTCTCTCCAGACACATATCCTATACAGTGAAGACTCTGAAGGAATGCAAGTGTATTTACTGGTAAAATGGAAGTGGACATTTGTGCCAGTTATCTGAAGACATTTCCTCTAGGTACTCCTGAGATATCACGTTCACAAGAATGGGATGGACACAAGGTTACACTGACCGTGAACTCTGACCACAGAAAATCAGTGCATCCTTGAGTTCAAGTGGTCTTTATACCAAATATGAAGAAATTCCCTCAAAACATTCCTGAGATATCACATTCACGAAAGTGGGCACATAATGGGAACATAATGCCTCGGGCTACGGCACAAATGCAGGAGGCTTCGTTTTACCAAAAGCCAAACAACCCAAAGTTGGTGCATTTTCGTAAAAGTAAATATTAAGGCTATCAAAGTTAAGAGTCCCTATTCTCAGACCTATACTCCTGCCTTTCCTCTTCTCTCTCTGTCTATGAATCCTTCTACCTCCTCTCCTTCTTTGACCAACAGTAGTCCAATTTCCGCCAGCACCCTGTAGGTCAACAGCACTGGTGGCGGTCGTTGTTAAACCGGGCCTCGACCAATCCGGTATGGAATTCGCACTGATGATTCGCATGTTTAAATTTGGCATGTTTTTACCCCGGATGTCCTTCCTGACACAACCCTCTGTATTTATCTGGGCTTGGGACCGGCAGAGAAGTCACTGGCTTGCAACCCCTGTGGCTAGATTAAAAGGGAGTCAATGCTCCCATGTTAAAATGCCCAACTTTACAGCAGAAATAAACATGTTTACAGCCTGGTGCAAAAAACGTTTTTGCTCTCTTTAGCTAAATTCCCCTTCCATGACAACTATACAGGGGTGAATTTATTTTTTTTTAATAACTCGCCCGTTTAAATTATACTGAGACTAAAAATTATGCATTAATTAAAGCATGGCTGCTTTGAGTGAAAGGCAGGAGGGTGCTGCCATAGGTGGCTGGCCGCTAGCTGTCTAGCCAGCTCCACTCACGCTCCACCTCTTTGGCCAGTTTGGGATTAGACCTAGCAGGTGGAGTGAAGTGCAACCAATATGGACATGGCAAGACTTCAGCTTCAAAAACGGCTCTTCAGAAAACCAATGGCTGATGTCAGAGGGTTTGTCCAGCTTTTATATACAGTCAATGGTTCAGACTACTGGATAACATACAGTAAGTAGTAAGGTCACATTTTGTTATTCTCATGAGTCATTAGCGCACCAGAATTTGAAGAGATGCCTAATTTCTTTTCAACCACTAGAGGGTCTAGTGACACTCAAAACAAACTGACAACATAAGGTGCTCCTAACTGCTCTTTGTCCCTCCCATCACATCCTGTTTCCTAAACTACGGATGCCTGGTTGCAACCAACTGTACATAATGCAGCCTCCTGTCCAAAGCCAGCTTTAGCTGACTAGTAAATTTATCGGTCCAGTAGAACGCCCTGGTTACTGCTATTGTGACACAAAGCACTAATGTTACACAAAGTTCAAATTACTCCCAAATTAAAATCATATTAATTCAATAAAAAGGTAAAATAATGACCACACAGGGTCCCTAATGTTATCAAAACAAACACAGTAGCTTTAGATGCTAACACATCCAGAAGAAAGAGCATTTTGTCTGAATCAAATTCGAGTCCTTTGGGTACTTTTACCATTTTACCTCAAAAAGCTAAACTGATGTCAACCCTGGTTTTTGCTCTTTCTTTGTCCCACTCTCTCGGTGCAAAAGCAGCCTCCTTAGTCTGGCAGCCACTGTTCTGGAGTTTTAGCGAGGGGGTGTTAGCGGGTATTTAAAGACAGGTTAAAACTTCCAACATAGTCAAACTAGTCAGAAAATATTCAGCAGAGAAAACCCCTGGCAATAATAGCCTACATCTCCCTAATACACAAATACACACTGTTCATTATGGATCTCTGCCTCTCTTACTCATGCTCTCCTGCTTTGACTTATTATGTTTCATATTAAGCTTACAAAAGCCTTTTTGTGAGCACTCCACTTGGAATTCCTTTTTTGTTAAGCACCAGACTCAACCTTAACAAAGCACAAAAATGAAGCAATTTCTGAGTGTCATATTATACAGAACATCACGTCCAATACTAGAAGATCGTGTACCTCATGAGTCATGAAAGAAACAGCCATTAGTCAGAGGGGGAATTCGGTGGGGTCAGCATCAGGGAAATATTAAGTAGAGTAATGAGCTTCCACCTAACACCTTAATCTTCACACATCTTATAGAGAAGAAAAGCAGTTATATGATTTTTTTTAGCATCACAAATTGTGTTTTGTACAATTTCGTCTCCACAGAAGTATGTAGACCTATATTACCTAAAGACATCCACAAATTATTGACTGACTAAAACAAGTTTCAACAACATGGAGCAAAAAGCTCAATTTAAAACTGTATTAAGAATATTTTTATCATCTTCCTTGTCCAGGGCTACTGAACACAATCTAAGTTATAGTGGAACGCAATAATAAGAGCCTCCTTACTCTTTATTCCTTTTTACCAAATGTGTTTACATACATGCAGGACTCTAAGTCATGTTTTTAAATGTCCCTCAAGAAATTATTACCCAGGAGAAACCACATACATGCATTTTCATACTTCAGGCATATAATAAATACAATATTACAGTACAAAGTGTCACTACAGAATATGGCTCTGAAACTCAACAGTAAATGTGGCGATAATCATGTATACAATTTTCATTACTAGATTAAGAAACCTTATGTTCACATTAGTCACATTATGTAATTCATTCACTACATTGTGTATTGGGATACAGATGGAGGTAATATGGTGCCAACATATTGTGGCAAATAGAATGGACACTGTGTTAAAAACAATGGCCAAAAACCACCCAGCAAAATGTTTCTCAATAAACGTTTTATCATTATTCACTTCAAATAATTGTTTTCTCCATTTTGCTTATTTCCTTCCTTGCTTCGTGCAGTTTGGTACGACAACATTTCCATGACACATCAGCAGTTTTTTTCTTGCTCAACTGGTCTGTGAAGGACTAATCAGTCACATATAAAAATCAGTCCTGAGCATGTTGGTTTTCAGTTTGCATTTCTTCACATGTGGTTTTCATTTCCTTTAGCGGCGAGTTGTTAATATGACCTTCAAAGTCTAAGTCAAATTCCACACCACTGATTTGAGAACATCATCATCAATCAGCAGAAAGATCCCATTTTCCAGTTTTAGCCAAATTGTATACACATTTATTATCAAAACCTCATAAATCTCTGCCTACTAGTAGCCCACAAGGATCAAGCCATCAACCTGATGTCCCTAACATCATTTGAAGTCCACACACTAATCCAAACTACTTACATTTAAAACCCCACCAAGTTAATATGTAAGTCAGCCACCTGTTCTGCAGACTACAGCAATGCAATTTAACCTCCAACCCACTGATGCCAAAATCTGATAGCTTTACCACCACAAGCATAACATTGTCTCGCAAACTGCTAATGTCAACTAATTTGGCCACTAAGGCAGACGCACCTCTGAGAACTTACATTAAATTTGACCTTTGAGCAAAACATTAAGAAATGAATACACATTTTTCATGATTACAAAAATCATGTTCAAAATGTGTTTGTTTCTAGGCCACGTTTAACAGTATTTTGAAGGAGAAGAAATTATACTGGCAACAATGAGGCTTCTATTAAAGAAAGTTCATTCCAAAAACATTTATAAAAATGGTCATTTTAACTACTGATAATACATTTCTTGACACTGATTTAAAACTCAGTCAGTATGTGTAATAGCAATGGGACAATATGTCAACGTTCAGTATACTTCAATACAAAAACATCACAGTATGCAACATGTACTGTATATCATGTTGTCCCCACACACCAGCGACTTCATATTTTTTGTAAATAAGACGACCTAGCTGAACATATGTCAGTATATCTGCTTGTTATTTATATAATCAAACCAGTCATCAAGCCAAAGTACAACTATTCTGCACCTAGTCATACATTGTCACTGAATTTTTAAACTGCATCCTGAATGTATTGAATTGTACACATCATATTGAGTGGTATGGAGAAAAAGTCACATTGTCCCATCACTAATATGCAACAAACAAGCAGTCACACATATGACTAACCTGAACCATGCATTTGATTACAAGCAAATAATCCATGGCCATGTTTTCAGCGCTGTAGTAGACACATCATGTCTGCATCACGGCCAGCTGGAAACACACACCTAGTCTTACATGACTTGTGTTTTCCCCTAAGTCTTTACACATACATACGATGTCCACTTAGCAACCTAACATGTGAGAGAGATACTGTAGAAACATGTGTTAATGGCTAATTGTTACGTAGGGTGCCTTTACTAAATATGCACCAGTTTTAGTCACTTTACAGTGACTAAGCATTGGCAGTAGATTATTAATTCGTTTGCTGGTAAAATAGCATAGCTAAAAAAAAAAAAATTACTCTTGTGCTAGCTTTTAAATTTCCACAAGTAAAATGAAAATTAGGCTAAGTGTGTGCATAGCCCGTTTGTTTTAAATCGCATTAAAATGATCATTAATGGCAATATTTACATTAAAAAATAGGTCTGGGGATAACGTTCAATCACAGGTGCCTATGAAACATAGAGTCAGTGACAAACCACTGGGTCATAACAACGACACACCCTCTATAAGCCCCGAGCTGTGATTAGCACGTCAAGAATCGCCTTTAAAGGTGAACCCTGACTCGGTTCACCGGGCCGACCAGCCGAAATCAGAAACCAACGAAACACAGACGCAGCATCGAGCCGTGGCTGAAGCATTATGCTGGGGGAAAAGGCCAGTCCGTGCAGCTAGCGGTTTGAGGATTCCCGTCGTTACGAGCAGCATTTCCTGCCCTTGTGGTTTCACTCACTTCTACTACAGCACCGCAGACACGACGGAGATAACCGATAAACGGATCAAATTTAGCACCCGATAGCCGCTCTTACCTGGACATAATTGTTTTCGCAGTATTCCGCAACCCGGGACAGATTCTGGTAGCTTTCCACAAGTGCTCTTTTACCGGCAGGGATCTCCTCCTCTAATAGCATTTGTAGCTCTGCCATCTTACATCCCTTTGCATTTCTCTCCCGTCTTTTTCAGTGAGGCGAGGCGGTGATGCTGTGGTGTGTTACTGAGAAAGGGGCTCCCCCGCCTGGCATTGTAGAGCCACTGGCTTTCGACTCACAACGAGCCGTGACGAGTCGCAGCTACGTCATCAACGACGAGCGCTGATTAGCTGAGCGGCCGAGGGAGAAGCGAAGCGGACCAATCACAGTTAACTGATGGCCTACACTAAAGGATTCTTATTATTAATCCATAACAATATCATCATCATTATTATTGTTGTTGTAGGCTAAATGATACATATGCGGGGAATCATTTACCTATCACATAACGCAACGTAGCCCATTTAAATATTCTAAAATAGAAATATAGTTGAAATATGTCAGCTCACAAATCAGACATCATCATAAGAAAGGTAAAAACAAGCAAATAATAGAAATAATGATACATTTTACAAAACAACATAAACAATGACTCAACAATAGATGCAGCCTTTTGGTGGCTATAGCCTAAACCTTGATAACAGTGGTAACAGAAAGGTGCTAGCCCACATAGGCCTGGGTAAATATATAGCCCATATCAAATATATCAAATAGATCAAATAAATCATTTTCAAAATGGAAAAAATACAGTCTAACAATAACAGCGGTTTACTAAAAATAACATCAAAACACTACGTTACCCATAACCGCCCACGACTTAAATCACTGTTGAAGAGGGTTTGTGGGATTTGAAGGAGTAGGAGTAGTCTCGACCATGAATCCGAAGGCTTTATACAATAAAAACTACATTTCCCAGATATATTACATCACCGAACGTGAGTCGAGATTTCTGCTGTATAGCCCATCGCAGACATACACCGGATTAATGAAATAATTATTTCACTGGCGAATATGAATTTAATGGTGAGTTTATAATCAATCAGCTACAGAGGGAAACATTTCAGCTTCAAACATTTATTAAATACAACAATTTTATCCCAAATCTTCCAGATTAGCCTAAAGGGGAAATAATCAGCCTACGTAGTTAAAACATAGGCTACCTGCTACAGTGGTGACTAAAATGTCTTCAAGTGTTCCTAACTGGACACTTTCTAAATGTCCTTGAGTTTTCTGATTATTTCATATTCTTGTTTCAGGATGTGAGGACTCTTTCATGACATCCTCTCTGCACTCGGCATGGCGCAGGACGGGGACAAACACGGCCTGGAGGAGAAATTTGCTGCTGCAGTTAAAGTGATGCAGAGTTTACCAGAAGAAGGTGATTATTCTGTTTCACTCTGTCTTATAACAAATGAAAGGCAATGTATTTTCTTGTATTTTCTGTAGAGTTGTGTGCTATCCAGTGTGAAGTCTGTGCTTGTTGGTGCATAAACACTCCAGGTAACTGGCCTATATGCAGATCATTTAAGCTGTGCCCCTCTTGGCTGACCCCTATTGATAAAGCAGCCATAGGGATAAGAGTTGATTTGCTGAATCAGTCATTTCATCTAATTACAATTCCTATAACTCATGTTAGTAGGCCCGTGTCTTTTAATGATATAATCTGCTCTTTTCATTCCTCAGGTCCTTTCCAGCCATCTGATAACATGAAGCTTATGTTCTATAGTTACTATAAGCAGGCCACCTCAGGGCCCTGCAACATCTCCAGACCATCTGGCTTCTGGGACACTTGTGGAAAAGCTAAATGGTACGTTGTCTTAATGTACATGTAATTGTTGTGTTCCACAGCTAATGGCAACACAGGAGACCGACAGCTGGTGGATTTGCATGTTTTGTGCCAAGTTACATATACGCTGTGATGTATCTATTGCATATAAAAGGATCACTTCTATCAGATCCTCACACACTGTCCATCCAGAGCCTAGATCAAAGTATTTGCCTGCTATACAAATACATTATTCAATTTTAATAATACTGAAATGTTACTGCACACTAGAGCAGATAATATGTAATACTGAAGTAATAGAAAATAATCGAGTTTGCTAACATTTCTTCATTTTTAATTCCTCTGTAACTGCACATTTGCAGTTGTTCAATGTTCATTTTCTTGTGAGTGTTCATGGGGTGTAAATATGACTTTGTATCCTCAGGGATGCCTGGAGATCTTTAGGAAATATGACAAAGGAGGATGCCATGAAGAATTACATTGAGAACATTCAACTGGTAAGTCAGTTCAGGGAAAACTAAAAGCTGAATGGTAGCAGCAACCAGAGCAATAAGCGCTTAATAAACCGAAATTTATGGGATTTATCTGATCGGCTTCTGATTTCTAATTCTAACAATAATAAAAGCCTGCTGATGGCCGAGTCTCAGAAGACACAAAAGGAAATACAAATTATTTGAATATGACCCAGTTTATCTATCAGACTTAAATTTTTTATAAAATAATTAATTTACATGATGATGTGATGTATGTGTTGTCAGATTCTGGAGGCAATCCCAATCTCAGATGAAGTGTCGGACCTGGTGCAGAAGCTTGGTGACTTCTACACAGAAGTAGACGGAGGAGGTGAAGAAGCTGAAGTAGACGGAGGAGGTGAAGAAGCTGAAGAAAATGAGGCAGACAGGAGACCCTTCACCAGGCCTTTTGCAAGCCATGCAGGTAAGGTTCACGATCAGAGACGTAATTCCACACATGAGGCCACGTCAAAGGAGAAATGAATTCAAGGAGACCACTGCTGCTCAAGTGGGATGGACAGCTTTAATTTTCATTTCTCAGTCACAGACATTTTCTTTTCTGAACACTGAGCTTATCTTAAATGTCTTTTTATCACTAGATAAACTGGCCAAACCATTTAAGAAACTGACAATGGAAGGCAAGTCTTCGCTGTTTGTAGTGTTTGTAGTGGCTATAGAGTTGATGGGTCCCACAGTGTCTAAGCTTAATGTAACTAGTAAGTTGCTTTCATTGCTGCTTTATTTGGCTCATTGTCTTTGGCTCGCACTGCAGTCGCTGCTAGATGGATGAAATTATCTTGTGTATATGTTGTAGTTAGTCAAAGTGTTAGTTGTTGGTTTCCATTTGCTCTTTGTGGTGTAAAAACTGTCCTGTGAACCGACTGTTTGTATGCCTGTGTGTAGATTTATATTGTTCAAAATATCATTTGATGAGGAGTTAATCAAGAGTGTTTCATTCACTGTTCAGGCTTTGGGGATCTGTGGGATGATATACAAAACCTTCAAGAAAAAGTCAGTGATCATGTCAGTAGTGAGGAGGCGGAGGGAAGCAAAGAAAATAGTGAAACTGGGAGGAAAGAGGAAAGTAGGGATTGGAAGAGAAGTGAGGAAGAGGATAAAGAAGATAATACAGAAGATGAAGACAAGGAGGAGGAAGAAAAAGGTATTGTGAGCAGTTGTAGCTATGTGATTGTCCTGTGAAGGTGTGTGTGTTGTGTTTTAGAGGTTACATGCCAAGTGAACAGAGTCATTTTATTCTTCTTAAAATCAACAAATCCCATAAAAATAAGTTTATTTAGAATCAATCCTATGTAAACTCTCCACTAGCGCACCAAATGTGTATCAAGCCACAGATGAAAGTTGTCGGTAAGAAATATACAATTTACTCTTGTGTAACATTTGTTAAAATAATACAGTGCACAGCTGTTGTAAGAAGTTGCCTTTTGAAACATGACACTGTTGCAACCTAAAACACACCCCTAATGAGGCTTGTGTTTTTATGTGGCACAGATTGATCAGATTAGTCATTTGCTGTATACACACTCTCACGTTTATGCATTATCCTGTATGTGTATGCACTGTTTTACCTTAATTTTCCTCAATTTTTGACTATTTTTAGTTTGAAAGGTGACTAACTGTTTGTGTGTTTCTGTTGTGTAATTGCCCAGAGGCCTGAGGCATATTAGACAAGTTAATAAAGACCAGCCAGTACACATTTGATTTCAGAAACAAAATTTCACTTGCATCTTATAGTTCATTTTAAGGGTGCCAGAAATATGAAATATATCCATTTAAAGTCATTGATGTGATGTCTTTTCCCTTTCATATAAATAAGATGAGCATTGTCAAGATAAAGACACAAGACATTAGCATTAAATACATCTAGGGTGAGACACAGGATACAACACAAAAACTGTTTTGTGATGCCTAGTCATACTTGATTTCTCTCTTTGTGTTGTCTCAGACTGGAGTCCTGACCCAAGGCTGCTGAAGGTGGAGGACAAGTGGTGGACGTCAGGCACCAGAGGATCCAGCAGCAGCATGGAGCTCAGCATGTCTTCCTTCACCAACGGGACACACAGCTCCCTCAACAGCGAGGTGGAAGAGGAAGAACTGGCCTGTTCCATAGAGCCCACTGTGCAATGTAACCTGCACATGCACTTTAATGGACACCTAAGTGGTAGGATTACACAATAAGTACAAGATTTAATCATACATATTATATGGTTCTATATTATTTTTGTCTTTGATACATATACTGTAAGGATAAGTACATATGAGACATTTGCCTGCAGCCAGTGCTGCTGCTGAGGGGGTTTGTCTTTTCAGTAATTAATAACAATTATAGCGATTTTATTATACATTCTCAAATTTTACTTTATTCAACTTTTGTGCCATATCCTCATCATCATCTGTCAGTGTCTTTAAATGATAACTAGTCCCAGTTGTGTTTTATCCTGGTTAAATCATGTGCAGGATGTGATATAGAACATAACCAGAGTAATCATATGCCTGCTTAAGCCTCACTTTATCCAGGGTACTGTTCCTGTGTGCAGGAGGACCTGTAATGTCTCCACAATACAGACAGCTTCTGTCATTTTTGTACTGAGGAGCAGATGTTATGAATATGTCTTTCACTTAGCTTGTGGCTGTCCCAACCAGTTTTTAAGATCCAGTATTTATTTTTAATTCTATATAAAACCTTTATTATACAACTTACAGTGTGTACTTTAGGCCTGTAACAAAATGATTATGTTAGGTATGTTTTACAGCTAAAATCTCCATGTTTAGAGGATATATAACAAACATCTGGATATAAAGCTGATCAGCTACCTCGCATCAAAATGCCTGGACATCAATGACATCACTTTAATTTCACAGCGTATCATCTTTTTGTTAAACCTACTGATTCACTGACTACATGACTCAATTTGTGGACACCTGCACAGGTACAGTATACTGTATATGTAAGCCTAATATTCATACCTTAATTGCTGTGCGTGTCACATTATGATGTTCATGGGACATGTGTACGCTGGTTAGTCGTATGTGATTTTTAAATTAACCCTGCCTGCAGCAAAACTAAAACAATAAAATAAGCAGTAAAAAGAAAAAGAGAAATTAATGTTAAACTGTGTAGAACATATAAGTATAGTATAAGTCAAACTATCTACTGTCCAGTTCTTAAATGAATAGTTTGACATTTTGGGACATACGTATGCTTAGCTTTGCATCAGTACTGTTACCTGGGGTAAACATATAGTCTGGCTGTGTTCAGAGGTTAAAAAAAACAATCTGCCTCTAGCACCTCTCTCCACAGAAGAGAGCCAGGCACACAGTTTCCCAGTTTCCAGTCTTTATGCTAAGCTAAAGTAAATGTTTCCTGGTTCCAGCTTTGAACAGACAGACGTGTTGTTCAAAATACAGTAAGAGGTGTCTCTATATTTTTGTCCTCCCCTGCTACAAACATGAGAGGGTCAGAATATTAGGATCACCTCTGGATATAATGTAGTCCAGTACAACACCACCTTTAGCTATGGCCTCAATAATAAACATATAATTGAATGTACACATTTATGACAATTTCATCAAAAACTGAACATTTTGAGCTTCATAAACACAGATATAAGGGGGAAGTGTTGCATTGAAGTGCATACAACTGTACAGGTGTACCTAATAAAGGGGCGCTGGCGAGTGTATAAGCTGCGTATAGACATACACTGGCTGTTAAACATTGCACTTTAAATTTAATGTGTATTCTGCAGATAGATAATGAAGAACTGTGTGGGTCTGTGCTTCACACCTTTCAGATCATAGTGATGCTGCTCAAGAGAAAAACCACCGATCCACAGACTCGGATAATGAGGAGTTCTGTGACTCAATGGAGCATCTCGCCATGGAAGAGGTGTGGTAACCATTCTCTAAGTTTGTATTCATATCAGGCATGAAAATCATTAGAATGTTTTTCATTACCTCACAATGTTCTGCCCTATTAGTGGCTATACAGTTGTTTTTTCTCCTATAAGCCGGTATCTACATCAGGCGTTCAGTCATGTGAATCAGGAACTGCCTCATTGAAGCAAAAGGATCTTAGGTTTGTGAGCAGCACTGCCATGAATGGAGGAGAGGATCAAGTGGGAGAAGGGATTAGTACAAGCCAAAGCAACAGCTCCTTGTCTAGAAGAGGGAGAGGTAAAACACTGTATCACTAATGTACCTTTTGTCTAAGCTGTGCTCTTAGTTCACTGTCCTAAGTGTTTAAAGGAATCAAAGAAATTGTGTGCTATAGCTTTAATCCGTCACATTCGGGCTCCTGCTTCAGGTCTTCCATCACCAAGGGCTAGCTGCAGGTCTCAGCTGTGTTCCCGTGGAGATGCTAGCCACAGTTATGAGTCAAAGAAGAGACATCCTGTCACTGCGTGCAGGGGAAACCTCAATGAGCAAATAGCTACAGCTTTGCTGAAGCTGCAGTGTGACATGGCCAATGTGCTGCACAGGCTGCACACCCTGGAGGCGCTCACCGTGTCACAGGTCAGAGAACGGTGTTAGCCACATTCTGTGTAGGCTGTTGTCATTTTTTTGTCATCACACAAGAGGTAGATTTTTTTTTCCCCCATATTTTGAACATGCAAAATAAAATCACTTTTACATTGCACTTATTTTTCTTTCAGGCACATGTGTACTAAAATGTGACGCTGTTGATGACATTCACCATGACAGCTTATTATGTATTTACTGATGGATTTTTGTATTTTCAGTCAAGATCATCTTCACCAAGGCAGGAGGACTCCCTATCTACAGCACGAAAGGTCCTTATCAAAATATTCTTCAAAGGTTTTTAGATTGTTTTTTTTTTTTTTATTTAAATGGTTTTTGTTTACATTATGTAATTTTATGATTATAATATAATCAGGAAACCAATAGCTTTTTTTTAATGCAAGTTCTCTGTTTCTATAGTTCCTCAGACCATCCTGGTGGCCATTTGACTTCGCCCCACTCACAGTGGTGTTGACTGCACTCTGGCCATTGATTGCCCATTTGCTTGTCCAGCTTTATTTACAGCGGAAGAGAAAGTGAGCAAAACGCTGATTAAAAATGCCCAGGTCTCATTAATTACTCTTTTTTTATTTTATAGCCACAAACTAAAGCTTTTCACTTTTTCTACTCACAGGAAAATCCCCTGAATTGTTTAACAGAACAAAGAACATGAACCTAGGAGGAAATCACTGCACCTTTGTTGCTTTGTGGCTTCTGTAAGTCATCAACACAGTCTAAGGTGCCAGTAGAAATGGAAAGGCTACCTTAGATAAATCAATAGTCAGAAAGATCATTCAAAGGGAGCTGGCATAGTCTAGCATTTTAACTTCGGGGAAGCTTTTTAATTGTCTAAGAAAGGGAGGATTTATTTATAATAAATGCAGGCACATTTTTTACAGTTAGTGATTTTATTTATGATGAATTTTATATTAGACAACATGTTATTTAGATTTCATAGTCTATGTTGTTTTCATTATTATTTTTCAGACAATGCTCTTTACAGGTAACTAAGAACAGTCACCTTTTATATTTTTTGTCTGAAATATGGAACTATTTCAGTGGCATTTCTAATTAGATCAAATAGACATTTAAGGTGAAAACATGGTTTTTAATGTGCAAACTGTATATTCATAGCAATATTATTGATAAAAATTTTGCAGAATGAGTGTGATTTAGAATACAGACAATCCATATATATCAATATATAATCATTCTTGCTTCTTGTCATCTGTACAGCGAAAAAGAACGTTCAGATTAGGGACGCTTACAGTACTTTCAGATACACAATTGTAAAACATCAGTTTGTGAAGCCCATTTTATCATGCAATAAATACAGTCTTTGAACATACACTTTTATTGCAGTGGATCTTTTGTTTTGATGCCCAACTCAAAATTAACAACTGGCCGCGAGTCCTTATGAAAAGGGACGTGGATTGTCTGCTAAATAAATCACCGCTGCTGTTTTTGTGTGTATGTCATTTTTATTCCTACTTGAGAACAAAAACTAACAAACTAACAGAAAACAAAATTACTTCAGATAAAATAGACACTGTCTCTGCAGTGTTTAGGGACAGTGTCCCATTCATCACATTTTAGAATGGTATAAATAAGCAAAATAATTTTACAGGTTACCAGACACAATGGCATTTACTGGCATTTTGTTCATTGCAAACGTGGTGAAAATGGTGTTGTTTTCAGCGTTTGGACAAGTTATTTCCCTCACAAGTTACTGAAATGGTAAGGAGCAATAACTTATTCAAGTACTGTACAATACCACTTAGATGTATCTGTGCTTTACTCAATTTTTTTTTTTTACTTCATCTTCACTACATTTTAATGGCAAATAATGCACGTTTTACTGCATTAGGCCTACATGTATTTGATAACTAATCAGTTACTTTTCAGAATAAGCTCAATAACAAAATTTAATCAGACTTTATTGATCCTCAGTGGGAGATTCACAAGCTCATCACATAATAAACAAATGTGATATAGGCTACACAGTTATGCAATCTATTAATATGATATACAGTACATTATTGTGAAGTGCGCTACATCGTGAGTACTTTAACTTTTGCTACTTTCACCTAGCCCACATAACATGTTGCATGACTTGTAACACTTTTACACTGTGGTGTAGCTACTTTTACTCTAATGTGAGGATTTCTTGCACCACTTCTAAGGAGCGACTTCTCTGTTGTGTGTATCCTACAAACTTAAAAAGAATTCAAGAAACCTGAAGATTTAATCCACAGCGGCAGTGAGGGTTTTAGCAAGATAAACGGAACTTTAGACAGGTCAGAAAAGGGAGAATCGGTTTTGACATGGATACAAATTTTTGTCATCACCATAGAAGAAGTCATATCCGGTTTATTTTCAGCTGTCAGACGGAAGTTCACATTCGGAGTTTGTGAATCTACTACAGAAAGTTAACGTGAAAAACGGACCTTTAACTCTCAGGGACACAAGTGAGATCTGAAATGTTTTCTTTGTCTGCGACCGTCCAGCCACAGGTAAGTTAGGAAAGTAAGAAATACAAGGCTAAGATAACCTTCGCGTTGACGCGTTCCTTGTTAAACTTGCTAGCAAGCTATGTTAACCTTGCTAACAAGCTATGTTAACCTTAGCCTGTGCTCTTGTAAGACAGACTTCATTCAGCCTTTCGCTTTGGTTTAATAATTTGAAATAAATGCGCGTTTACGTCAGTGAACTCCGCGTTTAACCGTCATTTAGGTTAAATTTGGATGATGCGGGCATCCGGGGAAAGTTTTGGCTAGCAACGTTGGTGTCTCCTTATCTGCCACATTTTCAACTGCGTCAGCCAGCGACTTGTTTGACTTCTGATTATGTGCTGTTAGGTATTTTTAGTCAGATAGATATTGGATAGATACATTATGTATTAGAAATGTTTAGTGGAGATAGGATGTCTAGTTAGACTGTTAAATGCTTAGGCATGCTTATGAGTTTCTACAGGGTACATCTGGTCAAGGATAACTAGAGAGAAGAGTTGATGACTGTCAGCAGACAGGATGTTTAATATTATTATTATGATGTGTATAACTGTAGCCTTAGCCATAATATGTTCTTATGTTTAATATCACGACATGTACTAGAGGTCGTGAGAATGTTTTTAGTTACACACCACTTAATCAACAGACACACACACACACATTGATTTGCTTCATGTTTTGACTAATGTTATCGCCAGCTGCAAGGCTGGTAACAGAGACGTATAAGATGGTAATAAGAACCTTACCATTGCTAACTCTGAGAGACGAGACAGACCAAGTAACTTCAAAACAGTGCTTATTTATTCAAAGTATCGCAGGTAAAATTAACATTACTCGCTCAGGTATCTTCCTCCTCC